ATGTTAATTTATTTTATTAAATTTATATTGATATTTGAGTAGTTTAAACTTGATGACTTTCTTGTTTCTTTTTGAAAAGTTTCTTGTTATTGATAAAATAATAAAAATTACTCATTTAAAATTTCACTAATTCTTGTTTTTCTACTTTATTTATTTGGTATTATGATACTCTGTTAAGAGGTTAAAAGAAGAAGAAAGAAAGGTATTACACTTCCTTGAGTCGGAAATAATAGAAATTAATTCTATTAATACTTAATTAATTGCTTTTTCTATATTATTTAATGTTGAAATTAATGAAAATAATGTATTATACATTACAAGGAGTATCACATAATATAAAAAACAAATAACAAAAGAATGAGAGATTCATAGTAACAAGAATATAAATAATAGAATAATGGATAAAAATAAATACTAATTATATTATCATATTAATTATCACAACTATCACGGCATTTATGGTATAAATCATTTCATTCATTTTCATCATCATTATTATTTTATCATTAATTCAAAAAGAAATAAATAATAATAGTATAATAGAATTAAATATCATAATAAAAACAAAGAAGATATAATAAATATCAAAATAAAGAATAAAATCAAATAAGAAATAAATGAAATGATAGAAATAATGAATGTAATTCAATTAAATGAAAATAAATGAATTAATAATTAATGAATTATAAATAAAATTAAAATAAAATAGAGAAATAACATTATGATGAAATATTTCATTTAATATCATTATTAATTTGATATACAATAATTTGGTATGAATATTATATGTATTAAATTTACAATTAAAGTCAAATATGATATTATATTCATTTATATTAATAAATATGAATTATATATTGTTTTATATAACAAATAATTAAAATAAATTAAAAAATGAAATTTCTAAAATTGAAATGATAGAAATAAAGAAAGATAGAAATAAATACATTACATTCACTGATTTATTCATTTCTTTATTATTCATATTATCAATTTATTGTTATATTTATTAATTGAATATTTATCATTTGTAATATTTCATTTCTATGATATTTTATTTATTTTTCATTTTCATATTCATCAAATAAATAAATAAAAAATGATAATTTATTGAAATATAAATTATTTGTTATTAATAATTTATATTAAAAAATAAAAAGAAGAAAAAATGAATGACGGTTATCTTAAAAATAAAAGAAGTTCAAACTAAAAATAAAAAAGAACTAATAAATAATAAAATAATAAAGAAAGAATGCAATTATGATATAATGAAATAATGATTGTCTCGAAGTATTTTAAAGATATTAATGATTTTATTAATTTAGAAATTGGAATTAAAAGATTTAGAGGAAATATGGAACGATTTCATTTTAATCCAATTCCATTGAATCAATATTCAAGAAGATTATTTCCTAATATTGAAACATTTCATATTTATAAAGAAGAAGATGAAGTGTTTGAAGATGTAAAAATATCGAATATACAGAAGAAGATAGAGAGAAATATGGAAATACAATACCAATAGAAGTTAATTCAATTGGAGATAATTGTTTTTGTGAATGTAATGATATTCAAGAAATTGAAATACAACCAGTATTAGTGAATTAGGAGATAGTTGTTTTTATGAATGTAAATCATTAAAATCAATTAATATACCAACAAGTGTAATTGAAATAGGAAATGGATGTTTTTTGAAATGTTCATCATTAAAATCAATTAATATACCATCATCAATTACATCATTTGGAATTGGATATTTTTGTCATTGTGGATGTGAAGAAGAATTAAAGAAGAATAAAACAATACCAGAATCCCGCTTTAAATATTAAAGAAGAAAAAAAGAAAGAAGATAATTGAATTGTTAACGAATAAAAAGAATGTTCATTTTATAATTTAAATGATAAGAAATACATAATAAACAAATTAAATGATAATAAATTAAAGAATGAAATATCAAATGAATGAAATGAAATAAAATCATCCATCATTTATTTAATTATTAATATGTTATGTTTATTCATTTTTATTTTATTTCATTTTATTTGATTGTTTCAATGTGTTGAATTGATATTTCATCTCTTATTAAATGATATTTCATTCATTATATTTGTTTTGTAATAATTTTATTCTTTTTTTACTCTTCTTTCTTATCTATTTTAAATATTATTTCATTCACACTTTCTTTATTTTCTTCTGTATTTTTATTATTATTATTGTATTTAATTCATATTAATATTTGTTATTTAATTCATTCAAATATAAAATAAATCATAAGATTAATGAAAGAGAAATAATGAATAATAATGAAGATTATATTAATTTAATTATATTCTTTATTTTATTTTCATAATAAATAACAATATTAATCAACTTAAATTATA